GGGAACTCTCAGGTCTAAACCTTTGTTCTGAAATACTTTTTTTTCTCTCCTATTGGTGAAAAAGAGAGCATAGTGTTGGCAGAGTCCAAAGCCAAGCTCATGGGAGAAACCTCAGTCATGCAAGAGTGGTACATGCCCCTCTTCAGGAAGAATCACCTCCAGGTGGTGAGGCAGACATATTGTGAGGAAGCTCAAGACAGGGCAGGTGCACAAAGCAAGTTGCTGACCTCTTTTTCTCTCTCTGATCTTCTAGGGTTCTTCCTAGCCTTTCTTCTCTGTTTTTTCTTATTTTTTTCTTCCTTCATGCCTTTTAGTGTGGCCACAGGGTCCTCGACTACTTCTGATGTGGGGGCTGTGTGATTGCTCATTGACCAATCAGAAATGGCGTTAGAGCTCCAATGAGAGTTGACAGGATTGGCAGGAAGCAAGGAAGAATTTGCTCCTGGAGTTGCATATTCTAAAGAACTGGTTTCCACAGGTTGAAATTCATAATAATCCCACTCCAGGCCACTGGAGGTCATTCTTCAACTAATTCTCCGTCCTTACCATCATGCCATAAAGATCAGTATCTGCAGAATATGAAGTGAGGAGTAAATTCTTCATAACATTAACATTGGAGAATGCTGTGTGTAAAATTTAGTTTTAGTTTAGTTTATCCACCATCTAAGATAGGTAGCTTCTGAAATGACTTTTTCCCAATAATTAATCTCCCAGTTTCTTTAAAAAACACATAAAGAGTTTTCTTCCTTGAATTTGTGCATATATTTCAAGGCTGACCACCAACAGGCATGGTAAATACACAGAAGACAGACACTCATCATATACTGTGAATGCCTTACTTCAGAATTAGTGAAGGTCAATTCCACCTTCTCTATTCCAACTGTTTTTTTGTTTATTGTTGCTGTGTTTTTGCTTTGTTTTGTTTTAATTTATCTGACAGAAGTAATATATGCATTGTTTGTCTTGGGTGAGGAAAAGATGCAAGAAAATGAATAATTCCAATAAATGAAGGAAGGTCTTTCTGTCTAAAAGTAGAGCCTTTCCTTTTGCCAACATGTCTCACCTTGGCTACCTTGTGAGAACTCCTGCCTGTTTTACTTCCTACCTTGCCTGATATAAACAGCAGCAGTCCTAGGAAATTAGCATGGCTTTTGCTGCATGGGAACAAGTGATCCTCAGAGTTCAGGACCTGAGGCAGGGCTGTTGGGTTGCAATGGTTTAGCACGCCTGGTGTTGTGGACTTGCCACCGTGGCAAGCAAGGGCTTTAATTATGCTGAGAAGATCAGATGCCTCCCAGCATGTTTGCATCAGCAATGCAATGCTCCGCCTTTTCTGTGGTTGGAATCTCTTCTCTCTCCCTGTATTTTCACTGCTGTCGTCTAAGGACATGATATAGTTAGGAATGTTCTGATGGCTACAGTACTGGAAAATAAAAAAGCATCATGATCCAAGGTAGAAATCAACAGTTTAAAGCTAAATCAGCATCTTTTGAAAATAACAGCCTTGGAGACCCAACAGGTTCCCAACATAACCAGAGATCTATGAAAGACACTAGATGGCCTTCCTTTTGCCCATGCATAAAACAATGTCATATTTAGTTATTTCTTTGCAAATGCTGCCCTTTTCACTGATAAGTGTGTTTGCCAAGCTTTAGGACATTACAACAGACCCAAAGAAAACTAGAAGCACTTTGGTAAACCATATCCTAGCACACCTGAGGGTCTGAAATTTGAATAACACTCTCTAACCACAGTGATTAAAGGTGAATCTTGAAAAGATTGGTGTAAGTGCAAAATCTCTAATATTCTGTGTTCCTAACAAAAGTTCTTATTTCTTAGAGTCCTGCCATACGAATTAGAGTTGAAACAGTTTCTGAAAAATAGTTTCCAATCATGTTATCATGGGGTCTTCCCTAATAGCTCATTGGAGTACAATTTACATGATCCCTTCTAAGAGGCCCTCTCTTTCCAAAGACACAATAGTGCAACCCTATGTACTATGTGACTCCACCCCAGCAGCTGCTGATTGACTCAGGATTGGTCACATGACCCCAGAGGAGCCAACTGGAGTCCCTTTCTAGATAATTTTTTTTTTTTTTTTGTGGTGGCTGTTTGGTACAGGGGTCAAACCCTGGACCTTGGTGTTAGCAGCACCAGGCTCTAACCATTGAGAAAACTGGCCAGCCCCTTTCTAGATAATTTGCATGAACAGACTCAGAGCTGAGTTGGTTGGTAGCCATGTCTAAATAACAGCACAGCACCAGAATAAACTCATTCTAGAGGCTTCTTTTTTCCTGCATTCTATGAGATCTATGTCCCTTTTTTTCCTTGAATAAGTCCTTTTCAACTAAATTGTACACATAGACAAAGAGGAAGCAAGGTGAGCAAAGGAAAAAATTAAGTTTTTAGGCCCCTTCTTTTCTCCAATGGTAAACTTGTTCATTGACACACATTTCCAGCAGGCCTTGCCACACTCTCTGGTGTGTGTGCATGTGCTTGTGTTCCTTTGTACTGAGCCAGGACACAGGCACTTGAATGATAATAGATAAGAATGAACCACGAAGGAAGAACCACCCACCCCGCTCCCATCCGCTAACTTGCTGTCGAGAATGGGTCTCAGAACAGGTCTTTTTGAGGAAGTTCTTGCCACCACGAGGATGAAGATTCAGCTAAAAAGAGTTGGGAGAACATCTACTATGCTCCCACCTCATAGCTGCTTATACTTTGTCCTGTGCAGTTCTAGGCAGACCAGCTCCCCTGCAAACCCAGTCCCTGGAAGAATGATGGCTTCTACTCACATCGTCCTGGACATCGAGGTCACAGCCAGCCTTCAGCAAGATCTGGACCACAGAAAGATGACCCTTATTGGCAGCAAGATGCAGGGGGGTCCGGCCATGCTGTTAATGCAAAGCAAACACTAACTTCAGAAGAAGACATCAAAACCACTCCCAGGCGAGGAGAGGAAGGGGGTCTAGAGCAAGGTTAACGCAGTGGGTTTAGGAAGATCATTCCCCCCGCCCCTTCAGTTTGGCAGGAGATTGTTATGGATTTACCCAGAATTCAAGTTTGTCTCAGTTAACCTGGTTATTGGCAATGTAATTAATCAATGAACAAATATGCTTGAAATGTGAAGATTTCATTCAGTGAATAATTTTTTTTTTGATGTATTCACTTACTTTTAATAACAATACATATACCATGTTATGACCATGGAATGTAAGTTTAGGTTAGACAAGAGAATTTCACAAGTGTATTAAAGTACTCTGTAGTATATCAAAGTTTGTGTATAGTGTCTCACCAACCAGCTTGCTCATAAATCATTTATCACTTCTATTATAGGTAATTTGTTTAGCTTAACATTTATGACTCTTACAGAGAAAATAAACATACTACACACATTTAAAAAGTGTTCATTTACCTTTGCATTAGCACTTAAAATACACACTTCTATGACAAGATAACATTTAAAAATTATTCTAATATAACATTAACAGCAAAAAAAATTCTGCAATTACAAGAGTTAAACTGGAACCATAATTATAAGTTATTCTCATGTTTACAAGTGTGATTCTGAAATAAATACTACTTCTCTGCAGCTCTGTTGTAAGCTTTCTAGATTTTGTTTAAACATTCACACACACACACTTTCAGTTGTGAGAGGCTTTACAAGTCACATTCCATGTACTTTCTTTTTTTTTTCCTTTTTGTCTTTTTTCGTGACTGGCAACGGATCGCAACCCTCAGTGTCGCGCCCGTACCAGACTGGGACCAGCAACGGGATCGCAACCCTTGGTGTTGCCCCCGCACCTCGCTCAGCCAGTGAGCGGCCAGTCTGCATGTGGGATCCAAACCCTCGGAGGGAGCACCGCCGCGCTCCCAAGCGGTGAACTGTAGCAGTGCGCCACCGGGCCGGCCCACATTCCATGTACTTTTAACAAAGAGTTGCTTGAGTCAACCAGTCCTAAAAACTGAAGTACTCAACCAGTCCACAAGACAAGCAGAAAAAGGTTAAATTAACTGGGGTAAAAAGGACTTCTACATAACATCCAAAGCATGTGATATTCTGCAGCAAACAGGGAGTACTTCAGGGTTGGCCTGCTGTCATCTTTGGAACCACTGTAATTTCATTGAGAAGGTTTAAGAAAGTAGATATTTTAACACTATCAAGTACACTTAAGTGATCTGTTTCTTTTGTGCTAACTTGACTTTCTTTAATGACCAAGTTAGGTACTATTATTAAGTTAATTAGTATTATTATTCACTAATAATTTGGTCATTAGGCAAATCAAGCCTGCAAGGAAGCAAGCCAGTATTCAAAATGCCATGTTATTGTCTGAGCCCGCTCAAATAATTTATTTCCAGCATAAACCTGTAGCCTAAATAATGAGACGTCTAACTAAAGCAAGCTCCTCCAACAAGACCAAGACTGCATCTCCTCTTCTAAGGTTTAGGTTTTGCCCAGAATTTCTGATACATGGAATAACCCATACCAAGAGCCATTGCTCCCACAACAAAGCCTTGGGCTGCCACATGCATGTGGATCAGATGAATGGACACTTTAGTATCTCCCCTTTTCTTCAATTTATATAATCCATATGCAGCAACTGCTGCAAAGCCTACCATTCCAATGGGGACAAATGGTGCTTCTTTAGCTTTTCAGATAAATTTGGATCCCTGATCTTCATCAGATGAAGAAAGAGAAACATCTGTGTTGGTCGACACAGTGACTGCTTGAAGAATCTTCCGAGAACAACAAATCCCTCATGATCCAAGCAGCTCCTATCAGTGCATAATTTCTACTCCCCACTCATTAGTAGCAAACTAGCAAGTAGCAGAATGAGGGGTTTCACGTCTGCTCTTATTTTCTCATGGCTGCTCATACTAACAGATGATGAAATGGCCACAGTGAAAATGTGACCAGGGCAGGAGGTGGAGGAACAGCAAATGTCAAGCTAATCAGCCCCAGGAAAACGCAGTTAGGAACTCCTGGAAATTAGAACTGCTTATCAAACAGACTAGGAAAAGCTCTCCCTCTTGATAAAAACAAATTTTAAAACTGCGAAGTATTTCAGCCACTCAGAAATGTAATATTTAAAAACGTACATACCCACCGACCATTTTAAGAAAACCTCAGGGAAACTGTTGGCGTTGCTTGTGAGCACCTCCCAGATGTCCCCTGCATCCCCAGAGGTAGCCACTCTCTCGACTTTGCGCTCACCGTGCCTTCGCTCCCCCACCCCCAGCAACCGGCCAGTATCCATGTATCTGAACCCTTGACCCTCCCGTTGCCAACACCGTGCTCAAGCCGGCCGAGCTAACTGGCTGGCCCTCCTCTGCTTTTCATTATATTTTTACTACATGTTGGCAGCCAGACAACATACAAGGTACTTCAAAAAGTTCGTGGAAATAGAGAACCAAAAGATTGTACAAATCATTTCACGAACTTTTTGAAATCCTCTTGTATAAACATTGTTTCACTTGTTCCAAACTTTATGTGTTAAACTGTATAATGTCATCTGGCAATTGTTTTGTCCGACATTATATTTTTGAGGGTTTTTTTTCATATTGTCACGTGTAGTTCCAGTTCACTTATTATTTACCTATTCTTCTACAGATGGGCCCAGGGGTGTTTCCAGCAGTTTGCAGGACACATTTGTGTGTTCCTCTCCTCGTGCACCTGAGTGGGCTTCTGAGCCTTGTTGCTGGGTCACAGAGAAGGCGATTGCCTTCAATGGCCCTATGCGTGCAGGCTCCTGAGGTACCACACTGAGAGTGACACCCAGAAGAAGTAACACTTTCAGGGCAAATCAACTTCTGCCTTGAGAACTGACCTTGCCAAACTTCTAATTCTCCAAATCCTGAAGGAGGCATTATGTTCCTTTTGCTTTCCCTCCCAGGTTTCACCGTGAAGAAACACTCAAACGTTATTTAAGCACCCATGCTGAAACACCCCCTGGAAGAAAAAGGGTCTCACATGGCCTACGTCCTGCTTAGATCTTGGTAAAACTTCACAGAGATCTTCTATTGATATTCTAGCAGAATAAACTCGTTTATGGTTTCATTAAAGCACCAGTCGGCCATGGGTAACCAGCCATGGAGGAAGACAGAGACAGCAGACCATAAGGGATCTCAATTTCTACCCATGAAATGCAATCAAGGCACTAGAATGACTGGAAAGAAAGAGGTCAGAGCTCACTCTAAAATTAGAATTCTTAATTAAGAACAAAGTTACTCCTAAGAAAGTGGGCTATGAAAAGCCTTCATAAAAAGGCAATGTCTGGGATGAAATGGAGGAGGGGCCGTTCTTTGCTGATGACTGTGCTTAGCCACGTGCTACTTGACCTTGACTCTTGAAGTGAGATGTCCACAGCTGACCAGATGCAGCAACTTGCTGCGCCGGGTCCCAGGCTCTGGCTGTCATTGCATGCCCTTGTCAAGGACCTCACCCCTTGACATTTAATAAGTGACTGTCACAAAGTTTTCTAAGGCGTTTTGAAAGATAGGAGAGTTCATCACATGCGTGAGGAGAAAGGGGTGTGCTGTGAGGAAGGTGACAGTGTGGTGGGACCAAGTACTTATTGAGCAACCAGCAAATATAGATCATGATGGGGAGAAGTTGCCTGGAGAGAGGCTGGAAAAGGAGCCACAGACCAGGGAGTCACTGGGTGTTGGGGTCAGGGGAACCCTGGGGAACATTCTTATCAGTAATGAGATATTACTAGTGGGGAAGTTGAGGCCCACAGAGGCTAAAGGTTTGTCTAAGTGAACACAAATAATCAGAAGGCAGGAGAAGGAAATGCTGCTGTGGTTCTGCTATGGACTGAATTGTGTACCCCCAAATTCCTATGTTGAATCCCTAATCCCCAATGTGATGGCATTCAGAGCTGAGGCCTTTGGGAGGTAGTTCATGAG